CGGACCACTGGGAATGCCCCACCGGATAGACAGCTGGTCTCTCTGCTGAATTTTCCACACAACAATGCTAAACTCTTGTGGGCAAGAAATAATAGAAAATATTCTGTAAAATGAGGGTAGAGTAAAATTGTGCCCTTTTAATCCCTACATTTCTACAAGGGGGGATGGCCCAGCCCCAGTTCTTTGGACAGGAGCCTGAAATAATCTGAACTGGCTCAATGTCTGAGAGATTCTGAACTGCCTCCATTTCTTGTCTTCCTTTCTTCCACCCTAAGATAAGTTTTGAGACTATGAAAATTCCAACTTAGGTTCAGCATTCAAGCAAGTGTGAGCCCAGCCTTCCCTTGTGTGCCTCCAAGCCTGCAATTGTGAGCCCCCAAGAAGAATTGTGGTGCAAATCAAAGTGCATTTTGCCCACAATCAAGTAGTTACAGCTGCCTGTGCAACCGCAATTCAGATGCATGTGGGGAAATTACTGGTGCATATTTTATGGGCGCAAACTTGCAGGCTCTGTCTAGACTAGCAAAACGAGGTGTATTTAGCAAATATAGAAGTTCACACATTTTAAATGATGCATTTTAAAACACCATTGAACACCTGCTGTAGACAAAAGGTATGTTTTCACAGCAGTTACAGGTGTGATTGCAGATCCCATAGGCCAGGGGTTCTCAAAATGGGGGTCGGGACCCCTCGGGGTCACAAGATTATTACGGGGGGGTTGTGAGCTGTCAACCTCCACCCCCAAACCCCGCTTTGCTCCAGCATTTATAATGGTGTTAAATATATTGAAAAGTGTTTTTAATTTATAAGGGGGGTCACACCTTGCTATGTGAAAGGGGTCACCAGTAAAAAAGTTTGAGAGCCACTGCCCTAGGCATACCCATGCTAGCTTTACTCTGGCTAGCACAGCTGAAAACAGCAGTAGAGAATCAGCGTTGGCTGTACCTGGGCACATACCTGCATTGCTAGCCCATGCCAGGGCCTTGCCAACACATTTTCACTGCTACTTGTAGACACACTAGCTAGAATTAAGCTAGCGCAGATATGCCTACCCGAGATGCAGTCACATCTCCGATTGCAATGCACACCTGCCCAGAGATAATTGTGTTTAAAAACATGATCGCTAGTCAGTCAAGCCACTGTCCTTGTCTACTCTAGGTGGTAAATGGTGTTTAAAAGCATGTTAATTAAACACCTGTTAGCTGACACTTTTGCAGTGCCACCTCATTTCCCTAGTCTAGACAGGACCTTAAGGCAGGCCTATGCACAAAAATGCACTGAAATAACTAAACTAGTTTTAATTCACACCTCTTGTGACCACAAAGATAAGACAGAACTAAACCCCTCTTTCTGTAGTCTGGGTGCTGTGACGTGAGCCTGCAAAGTCACACCATTATTCCGCTGTCAGACCTATCACAATGCAGTGCCAAGCAGCTCTTTGTCTTGCGCTAGCATTCCCAAAAAGGGGTCTCTTGATCACTGGGCTACAGCTAACGTAACTTGTGAGTGCTGCACGGGGGGTGGGGGGGATCTACTCAAGAGGGAGTAGCTCCAGTCATTCCGTAGGGGCTCTCTGGCCGCGGGGTAGAGAGAGGCGTTGAGAGGTGCCCCTAAGAGGATATGCCATGATAGTGAGTGTGACTAGAGCCCTGCAAATCCGCAGGTATCTGCTTTATATCCGCGGGTCTCCGATGCAGATATATGTGGACCATTTTTGCGGACAGCAGCTCCCCCACAGCTGCCAGTGCAGGTCTCCCCGACCTGGCTCCGGCCGGGGGAGGGGGCCTCGGAGCCGCAGCCCGGCCATGGTAAGAGCTAGGAGGGCAGCTGTGGCGAGCAGCGGCAGACCCTCTACCTGCCCTGGGCGGGGGGCCCGAGCAGCCCCCAGCCTGTGTCTCTGCCCCCCAGGCCTCCCGCCCAGGGCAGGTGGAGGGTCCACGCTGCGGTTCCTCACAGCTTCCTGCCTGGCTCTTACCGTGGCCGGGCTGAGGCTTCGAGGCACACGCGCGCGTGCACACACACACCCTGCTGGAGCCCGGTTGGGGAGAGCCGTGCGGGCAGCTGTGGGGAGCCGGCGTGGAGTTGCCGACCCGTCACTGTCCTCAACCGCGCGGGGAGCCTGGGGGCAGGGACACAGCCAGGGGCGGCTCTCAGCCTCCCTCCGCACCACGGGCAGGTGGTTTGTCCACGGCGGCTCCCCACGGCTGCCCGGGCTCCCCAGCTGGGTGCCACACTGGTCTGGCTGCGGAGGTCCTTTGGGGGAGAAGAAGAGGGGAAGGGAGAGGGGTCCGCCCCTATAAAAAGTGGACAGGTGCCCCCTCTCCCCCCTGCCCCCCAGTTCCAGCACCACTGGTCACTGCTGCACAATGACCTGTGGAGCTGTTTAGAGCCCTGGAAATCCACAGACGGTTTTTGCAGATCACGGATCAGCTGCAGATACACCTTTTTGTATCCGCGCAGGGCTCTAAGTGTGACATTCACTCTCTCGGCTTGCGGATATAAAGTATTGCATGACAATAAGGACATAAAAATTGCCATACTTGCATCAGACCCGTGGCCTGCCTAGTCCAGGATCCTGTCCCTGAAAACAGTCAGCACCATCTGCGTCAGAGGAAGGTGCAAGAAACCCTGTATAGACAATTCTGGAATAAATAGCTCATGGGGGTAGTTTGTTCCTAAACCACGTCAATTAGAGATGATGGAAATGGAGTGGGTCATCATAGATGCCGAGAACACCCGCCCACAGGGAAAAGCAAAGGAAATTGCTCTTCCTCCTCTCCTCCAGCAACCCTGCCCCATGGACCTCTTCCCACCACTCATCCCCAGATTTTTGTACTGATACTATCTTGTATGCTTATAGTCACTACCTCTGAGTGATGGGAGCCCCATTGGGACAATCGGAATGATGTGCAAAAGTGAAATTGCTGGCCTTTCTGGCCTATACACACATGCAATGTACTCAAATCACAATTCTGTTAACCAATTAAACATTTTTCTTTTTTGCTCGAGTTAGTATAGCTTTGTCACTAAATCCATTTCACACCTCTGTCAGTTTGATATGCAAAGAGAAATCAGACAATTTGGAAGTGATATCGAAGAAATACAAAGTGTAGAGTTACACTGGGGTGAGGGGAGGAAATATCTCTGCACAAAGTTTGAGTTGGAATGATCAATGTTTCCAGAAAGCCATCTAGTGGTTTTGTGCTAAAACAGTTGTTTGCTTTTAAACAGGAATCTGAAGCTGATAAGAGTGGGTATTATGTTCTGAGAAACTATCAACGTTCGTACAAGGAAATATAAGTGTAGTGCACAAATTTTGGGCCAGTTTTGCATAGATTCTATAGCAGAATCCGAGCCTTTAATAGTATGTTTTGGAGTGACTTTCTATATTTGAGAGACAGGGTGGGTGAGGTAATATTTTTTATTGGACCACCTTCTTTTGGTGAAGGAGAGAAGCTTTCAAGCTACACAAAGCTCTTCTTCAGGTAAATAATTGTATTATGCCAATCAGAAATATTTATGGGGTTGCATCCCATAAATACCAAGTACCAGCGCTTGTCTTTTCTGAAGAATTAGTTCGATGCTGTGTGGACATTCTTACGAACACAGGGCCAAATCTTCATCTGACATAGATGGATGGAGCTCCTCTGACAGTTTACACAGGCTAGGTGTTGGGCATGGGTAGTAGTAGTTGTTGTAGGTTCTCTCTCAAAACTGTCCACTTCTTTCACAAAGAAGTAATCAGCTGGTGCTTCTGTAGTGAAATCATTCCACGGTTTTCAGTTGCAATTATACATAACATTCAGAGGAGACAAATTTTGTTATTAGTGTGTAGGTGCTGGGTGGTTTGGTGGCCTGTGATATACAGAAGGTCAGACCAGATGATCTGGTGATCCCTTCTGGCCTTAAACTCTAGGACTTCATGCATTAATAATATTCGTTTTTCCCTTCACTGAATGTAATTTTTAATCTGTGTCTTTGAAGGTGTATTTCAGTGCGTTAGCACATGAAACTGTTTTCTGTATAACATGTAATGTTAAAAAACGTTGGGCCAAATTCTGCCGTTGGTTACCTCAGTGCAACCTCATTCAAGTCAGTAGAGTAATTGAGGGCAGAATTTGGTCTGCTAGCCAAATTCTCCACATGAGCAGAGATTAAAAAGACTGGGACTGTTCATCTTAGAAAAGAGACTAAGGGAGGATATGATAGAGGTCTATAAAATCAGGAATGGTGTGGAGAAAGTGAAGTGATATTTACCCCTTGATGTAACACAAAAAACTGGGGTCACCAATGACATTAATAGGCAGCAGGTTTAAAACACACATAAGGAAGTACTTTTTCTCACAACACACAGTCCACCTGTGGAACTTGTTGCCAGGGGATATTGTGAAGGCCAAAACTGGGTTTTCAACTGAGTTCAAAAAAGGATTAGATAAGTTCGTGGAGGATAGGTCCATCAGTGGCTATTAGCCAAGATGGTCAGGGATGCAACCCCATGTTCTCAGTGTCCCTAAGTCTCCAACTGCTGGAAGATGGAAGTGGATAACAGGAGACGGATTACTTGATAATTGCCCTATTTTGTTCATTCCCTCTGAAGCATCTGGCACTAACCGCTGTCAGAAGACAGGATACAGGACTAGATGGACCATTGGTCTGATCCTCTATGGACATTCTTATGTTATGTTATGTTCTTATATTAAGATTTTCAGAAATCAGTGGTAATTTTGGGTGTCCAACTTGAGATATCTTAAAAGGAGCCTAATTTTCAAAAAGTGCTGAGGCCCCTCAAAATCAGACGTCTTTGAGGGGTTTCAAATTGGGCACCCAAAATCACAGTTACTTAAATATGTGCCATAAAAGAGAATTCCACATAGCGCAGGGCATCACGCACAGGAATCTCTTTGTAGCGTTATATGTACCTTGTAGGAATCTATTTATTTATTTATTATATTTGTTTGCTGATTTCACAACTCTTTTTTTTTTTTTTACCCCTCCAACAGGAATCATTAACCAATGGCAACAGGAATCCAAGGATAAAGTGATCTCCCTATTGTTAACCCATCTGCCTTTACTGAAACCAGGAAACATTGAAGCAAAAGTGGAATACATGAAACTGTTGCCTAAAATCCTGGCTCATTCGATTGAACACAACCAACACATAGAAGAGAGCAGGCAGCTTTTGTCCTATGCTTTGATCCATCCTGCCACTTCACTGGAAGACAGGAGCGCTCTGGCCATGTGGCTCAATCACTTGGAGGATCGCACATCGGGTAGTTTTGGCAGCCAAAACAGAGGTCGGTCCGATTCTGTGGATTATGGACAGACACATTACTATCACCAAAGACAGAACTCTGACGACAAGCTGAATGGGTGGCAGAACTCTCGAGATTCTGGGATATGTGTCAGTGCTTCCAGCTGGCAGGACAAAAACCTGGGGTGTGAGAACGGCCATTTGCCCCTCTACTCTTCTTCTTCTGTCCCCACTACGATCAATACTATCGGAACTAATACAAGCACAAGTAAGTACCATGAACGTAAACCACTGCCGAGAGCCGTTTCCGGCACGTTTCTGTGGCATGTCCGCCCCACAGGAAAACATTTCCTTGCAGCACTTATCATATTAGAAGAGGGGGCCAGTTTTAGCTTGGCCCTGGAAAAACCCTTCTTTATACCTGTTTGCCCAGAATAGTCATTTTGCTGTTTTGCATATTGTAGGATTTTGAACACGAAGCTGCTTGGAACAAAGATTGAACAGCTAAGAGGCTATATAAGAGCAAAAACATCCGTTGTTGAAGGCTGCCACTTTCCTTTCACGCTATTAACCCCAGTTTTTGGGTAACATTTTCAGAAGTGCCTAAGATTCATGTTCAAAAGCGACTGAGGCGCTTAGGTGCCTAAGTCTCATTGGAAGTAATGGAACAAGACTCCGAAGTACCTAAGTCCTTTTTGAAAATGGGACATGGCTCCTAATTCAGATGAGCACTTTTCAAAACATTAGCCTTTATCTCGATTAGGCAGAGAGATGACTCTTATTGGTAATCTGTGGCTCTTACCCGTGCAGTCTTCAGTGTTCTTTATTTCTAATGATGCAGAATTCTGCCGTCTTTCCCCATGCAAAGCTTTCACAGACTTCAGTGGGACCTACACAGTGGGCCCCAGAATTGGATAGTGCAGATATGCCCTGGCATGGTAACTGGCATTTTTAAACAGAGATTTATGTAGCTTTTGTGTGGCGATTTACCCGATTTACCCCCAACCTAAACTTTTGTGCCTGCTTACATCTTGGGTGGAGAGCAAATGTAGCATTTTCCCAGTATGATTGGAGCCTGCTCTGTTGACTGGCGCTTGCTCTTTGTGTTGAAGGATGTTACGGGGGCTGGCACGCCTTTTACCCTGAAGAAGGGCAGTCTGTACACAGAGACCTTCCTTAAGATAGATTACAAGGAACCGTTGTGTCTTCGTACAGTGGGTACCAGGGTTTTACAAAGACAGTCCAGCTAGTTTTTTTTCAAAACCAGGTTTCTATCTCAGCAAATCAGACACTTGCCCTCCTCTCCCTGCCTCCTGTATACCTTTTCCTTGCTCCTCTGCCTACCTTCAACCTTCACCACCTCCCGCTTACAATGCTCTTACTTTCTAGCACTGACGGACACCTCCATCTCCACCTCCCATGCCTCAAAATGATCCCAGGACCCAACTGAGTGCTGGCCTTCATATTCAGGGCCATGTTCTCTATTGCTACATGAGCACAAGTGCCTGTACTGTTAATGGAGAAGGTGACATCCTTCCCCAAACACCCCTGCTCCCATAATAGGAAGCTTGAGCTCATCCTTGTCCCCCCCACCTTTAACCCATCCATCTCCACATGCCCTTGGACAAGCCCACCCTCTCTCTCCCTCTGGTTGCACAACTATCTCCCACACAAATCTCCAGGCCTTCGCTGGGGAGCAGATTTAGAAAGTGCTCCAGGTCATCCCTTTTGCTGACTCTGAACACATTAATTGTACAGAATGTAGAGGTAGCTTTCTGGAGGGAAAGCGGCTTGCAGTAAAGAAACTTACTTGTCTGTCAACCTGTGGAAATCCACAATGAAAAGTTCTGAGAGCATTAGAATGGTTCTTAAAGACTTTGTGGTCTCTGTGGATAGAAAATCCATGCTTGAACAATAAGAGTATAGCAGTCCACCAAGCACCTGACTAGGATGATGATGGTGATTGTGAAATGCTATGGGAGATTAAGGAGGCTACAAAGGCAGAAAACTCAGTTGAAATCTTGCAATATTATTATCTTCATATTGTCTGGGTGTGTGTCACATCAGCAAGGGATACAGAGAGAAAATTTCTAGACACATTAAGTAAATGCTTTTTGGAGCACCTTGCCCTGGAACCCACAAGGGGAGAGGCAATTCTTGATTTAGTTCTAAGCGGAACATAGGATCTGGTCCAAGAGATGACTATAGCTGAATCACTTGGTAATAGCAACCACAGTGTATTTAAATTTATCATCCTTGTAGGGGGGAAAATGCCAAAGAAACCCACCACAGTAGTGTTTAACTTCAGAAAGGGGAACTACATAAAAATGAAGAAGCTAGTTAAAAAGAAATTAAAAGGAACAGTCACATGGGTGAAATGCCTGCAAACCGCATGGAGACTATTTAAAAACACCATAATAGAGGCTCAAACTAAATGTATACCCCAATTTAAAAAAAAACAGTAAGAGGACCAAAAAAATGCCACCGTGGCTAAACAGCAGAGTAAAAGAGGTGGTTAGAGGCAACAAGGCATCCTTTCAAAATTGGAAATCAAATCCTAGTGAGGAGAAACGAGAATACATTCTGGCAAGTTAAGTGTAAAAGTATAACAAAGCAGGCCAAGAAAGAATTTGCAGAGCAACTAGCGAAAGATACAATAAATAATAGCACATTTTTTAAAGTACATCAAAAGCAAGAAACCTGCCAAACAGGGGCATCTGAATGATCGAGGTGCTCAAAGAAATTGAGGCTGTTGTGGAGAAGCTAAATGAATTATTTTCATTGGTCTTCTCTGCAGAGGATATGGGGGAGATCCCTGCACGCAAGCCACCCTTTTTAGATGACAGATCTGAGGAACTGTCCCAGATTGAGGTGTCAATAGAGGAGGTTTTGGAACCAATTGTTGAATTAAACAGTAATAAGTCACCAGGACTAGATGGTATCACCCAAGAGATCTGAACAAACTCAAATATGAAATTGCAGAACTAGTAACTGTGATATGTAATCTGTCGCTTAAATCCGCCTCTGAACCAGATGACTGGAGGGTGGCTAATATAACACTTAAAAAAATGCTCCAAAGGCGATCCTATTAACTTCAGAACCAGCCAGATTGGTTGAAACCAATAGTAAAGTACAGAATTATCAGACACATAGATAAAATGTTGGGGAAGAGTCAACGCGGCTTTTGTAAAAGGAAGTCAAGCCTCACCAATCTATTAGAATTCTTTGAGGGGGCCAACAAGCATGTGGGCAAGAGTGATCCAGTGGATATAGTGTACTTGGACTTTCAGAAAGCCTTTGACAAGGTCCCTCACCAATGGCGCTTAAGCAAACTAAGCAGTCATGGATAAGAGGGAAGGTCCTCTCATGGGTCAGTAACTGGGTGAAAGAACGGCTATTCTTTCTCTCCTTAGCTCTTGTAACTAGTGCCCTCTTTCAGGTGGAATTTCAAATCCCCAATGATTGTTATGAATTACCGTTATTACGTGCATTGCTAAAGTGCCCATCCCCATGGGGTGTAGGCGCTCCTATGTATATTTGGCTGGTGCATAGAATGCCATGTGGCAGGAACATTGCTCTCTCCTGCTGCACAGATTCTTTGCTGAAGGGTCAGACCCCAAGTGCTCCAGGCATGATGTATGTTGAGATTCCTGTCCGACTTCCCCCCTTTGCCACATCTTCAGCTAGTGCAGAAATGAAATGGCTCTTGCTGAAAGTACCTGCTATGCAGAAAATTCTATTAGGTTGTTTCACAGACTAGTCACCCAAGAGGGGATCGTTTTCATTAGGCCCTGGTGGGAGGGTGAGTGAGAGGCTGATCGTGAAAATAGCCGTGCGAAGGATCCAGTTGCATAGCCAGTGCTTCCTAAGTTAATAATGACCACAGCCTGTTTCACTTTTGCCACACTAGCTTCCTAATGGTCCTGAATGTTACTGCAGCCCTTCTCTCAGGTACTATATTTTGCATTGAGGCCTATATTGAATGAAGGATTTAAACCAGCCACAATAAAATATATGTTCATTACACCTCTGCAGTGAGCTAGCAAGCACTGGTCACATCCCCCCCGGTATCCATGGCGTTACACCAAGGCGTCTAACCAGTCTCTGGTGATGAAGATGATCCTGTAGGTTTTTAAATGCATGGGAGATTTAAAGGAGAGGGGGAGTGTCTACAGTGCGTGGAGAGGAAGTGTCCATGTTGACAGGCAGATGTGCATTTTATTCTCTCTTTAGAAAAAGAATGGGGCATATTGTGCCTGGGCACAAAAGGGTATAAGGGGGAGCTTTTCTCCACTAGGTGCATCCCAGGGACCAGGCACAGTTTCACTCCCTGCCGTTTCCTGATCCCAGGGACTGCACCCTGCTAGCTCCCACCAGGGTGTGAGCCACCCCAAAGTGGGAGGGAGACTATAGGGTCATCCCTTCCCCCGACTGACCCGCAGGGAGTGCCTTCTGCACCCTCCTTAGGTGTGGCACAGTGGGCATGCTTCCCTGTATGGGCATGCTTCCCTGTATGGGCAAGCTCCAGGAAGGATAATGCCTCTGCCGGCATGGTGCATGCACCAACTGGCCCAGTGTGTGCAGGTTTGGAATGACGCTAGATGAGATTGCTCTGTAAACTGCAGCATTGCTCGTGCTCGCTATTTGATCGCGAATCTCGCAATATTTGGCATTCTTAAAGCCCCAGCTCCCGGAATCTGGTGATCATGGGAGAATCTCAGCTTTTGTTAAATAAAAGCAAATTCCTAGCCTTCCTGGCTGTGCTGGAAAGCTGCCAGATGTGACCAGGCCAGCTGGCAGATGTGTGCTGGAAAGGCTCAGAACAAGAAGGCAAATAAAAGGATCCCTAAATTTATTATTGTTTTTAAAAATCTTGTGATTTGGGGGGGGGGGCGACTCATGGTTCTTGAACGCTTTGTGTTGGCAATGCTGAAATTATAAGAGTGCTTTGGTCCCTTATGTTATGGGCTGAAAATGGGGCAGGTACGACACAGGGGGGACAAGTTTAGTCTCTGGGAGAGGAGGGAGAAGAGCTTGCTGTAGATGCCCTTTCTGAGTAGCTGAAGAGGAACAGAAAGACTGGGGGCACTGATCATCTGGTTTGAAAAGCAGTTGCTTCAAACTCTGCTAAGGAAGAAGAGACCTGAGACCAGAGTGGTGCAGGGCCACCCAGAGGATTCAGGGGGCCTGGGGCAAAGCAATTTCGGGGTCCCCTTCCATAAAAAAAAGTTGCAATACTATAGAATACTAAGGGAAAACAGACATGAA